ATTCTGAACCACTGGGATTTCCCGAGGAGGACGCCCCCAATGACATCAAGCGACGGTGGGCTTTGAACAGAATATAGTACAGCCTTGCATACAGCAAAAGCATGGATACGATGATGATCCCTAACCACGTTAGACCAATCAACACATGGCCAAAGCACTTACACCGTGGGACGAAATTGACAAGCAACCGAACTTGATCAGATGTGAACCAACACCAAGCCCCGATATCTCCGTACCCTGCGACACCTAACCCGATCGACGCCCAGGCAACAGAAAGAATCCATGGCAGAGCCCACGGCAAGACGGGATGCGCTTCGAGCCAGGCCGAGCACCTCTTCTGGTCCGTCAGGACAAAATATGTGTAAACGGCGATAATGAACACCCAGTAATCGGTCTGGATGACAAAAACCTGTGTCATGTAACCGTTGAAGCTGCAGAACTGGGCTCGCTCGGGTGCCCCTATCCATCGACCGCTGACGTTCATCGACGAAGACGAGAGAAAGTTGACGGCCATGACGCAATCGCTGATGGCCAGACCCAGGATTAGCTGATGACGAAAGCTCCGAAGGTTTGAGAACACCTAAGCAGTTAGTAAGCTCGTCTTGTTTCACCAGGTACAACCTACAAAGAAGCTGGCGATCATCCAAGCTGCCCCGAGAGCCGAGAGGATCGACACGACCATAATTACCACGCTCTGGGTGAATATCACGACTGGCTGCGTCGGCGCGGCAAGTGCCGCCCGTGGGGAGATGTCGAAGCCACCAAACATGGTGCTGGATGAGGTATTCCGGCGATCACATTCCCAACCCACATGTTGTCAAGATCGACAGGGACGACAACGATTTTATGATCGTCATTGCCCCCAACTCCGTGGTCGAGATGCTTATCGGAGTGGAAGCTGAGGCCACTTGGTTAAATGAAACCCCCTGCGAATGTTAGCCTTCAGGAGCCCCTTGATGGGACTCTCACGGTGGAAATCGTTGGTACCATTCCTGGTGAGAAGAAAAGGAATCCAAAGACCCTTATCTCAGCTCAGTAGACGCCGACCGCGGCTGGGAGGACCAATACGAGGAGCCACTTGAATCCTTCTCGAATGTAGGTTGCTTCTTCCGTGGGTTGAAGATGGGATTTCGCATACCCCTATTTGCATACCATTTGCATACCCGTGGTGGCTTGATGCCCCCACGAGCGCGGGAAAGACGTCTTGTGGGGGTTTCGAATGGTTGCAGTGTCATCTTGACACAAGGTGCATCTTGCGCAGAGTGGAAGGATGGGAAAATCGCAAAGGGTTCCAGTGGGGGCGCATGTCATGGTTGATCTGGGGATCGGAAATGTTCGACACAGCGGATGAGAATAGAAAACCGGTTCTTTTGGAGATAAGCTGCAAGGTTTCGGCGTCGACGAGATAACAAGACAACCTCCGCGGAAAAGTGCTCGTTGTGGCGTTAGGGATGGAAGGAGCCAACTAGTGGTTTGAGCGTGGCTCTACCAAAACCCTAACCCGCGAGCCTAGAGGAAAGAACAACCACCTCCCACTTGCTTCTTCAGGTCGTCTCGATAGGTGATGACCTCATGAAGACAGACTCGACAGCCGGGGCCCCTCCGGCATGTTTGAGACCGTGGATAATCGGTCAAACCCACGTCCCATGCCTACCTACCTAGCAAAGACTGAGAGTTGTCTAATACATGGCGAATGAATCGGCACTTCCCGACTGCCCAACCTCAGTCAGCTCGAAACTCTCATTTTCTCAGGTGCTGATGCTTTCAGATGTTGGTTCAACCTTGAAGTATGAGCACATTACCATTGCTAGACAAGCGACTTGCCGAAATTGCGAGCTTTTCGTGGCTTGGACGCACCTTCCTCGAGAATCCAAAGTGATATGGAGATACATCGGCTTTGCCGCTCTCACGTGAGACCTGTGCACACACACGACGTCCATTCATCTTCTCCGCATAATTCCAATACCTTTGTTTTGATCCATTTTGCCGGACTGCCGAACGACCCAGCGATGCTGTCCGTAAACACCTGGTCATTGCGCTGTTCGCGAACAGAGTTCACTGTCCGCGAGAAGATCTGGGCCTAAGTGCTCTTCGGTATCGTGACCACGATGTATGCTGCAGATATGGTGACTAAAGCAGTTCTGACTTTGTCAACAGCAATGCATCCTCGGACATTTCTATCGAAGGCACGCTTGTCACCTTTCTGGCCTCCAAACGCTCATGTATACTCCAGAACACCAAGTTTTGCGGCCCGAAGCGAGGTGACTGCACCTTCAAGGATCACTTGGCATGATGCTGACGAAATGCTATCCAGACAACAGTGGATATCTCTAAGTCTTGGGGTTTCAGGTTGACATGTCAAAAGGACCGATCAGAAAGGCTACTCCCTCCGATATTCTCAAGCAGAAACTTGGTTACGGCTGCGATTCCCGTCCTTCCAAGTCTCGGAACTTGGCGTTGAGGTTCTAGCATCCCGACCAAAATCCAAACTCCGTCTCTTTTGCTAGATTTTACTGCGTGAACACCAGCACAGCAGAATCGGGACAGCACCGGTTCGTCTTGACGGCTCCTCTGGAGGCTCTGGTAGGTCAAGTTACCCTACCCATTGTGATCTTCTGGGCATGGATCTAACGAATCCCTGCTGGCTTCTGGTGTGTTTATTAGAAAACCATCGAACTTCCGCATTTTGTGACATCACCAAAGACACCGCCAACCGGCCGACGAATGCAACCCAACATGCCTTGTTCCCCACAACCCCGGTTCGCGGCCCCAAGCGATCCGTTGGAAATGCTTGGCTTCGCGGCCGCAATGCTAGCGAGACGCGCAATTAGTCGTCAGGCGGAAGGCCATCCCGGTTTTTCGGATCGTGGCGCGCGGCAGCTACCCTCCGTATTGCCGAAATCAAAACCATTTAGATGAATCGCCCACCAATCACAGCCCTCTTCATGTTCGACCAACGCCCCAGCCTTTCTCCAGCACCAGACATCAACGTGATTGGGGTGACATGCCCCGCGGGACGCTAGGCCGCGATCTGCTCACGGGGCTCACGCCGATGCCACACAGGCAGGTGGGTTCCCAAGCTGGAAAACCCGGGAAGACACTCGAAATTGGAGGAGACGCGATGGAGTCGCATTCACGCAAAAATGCCGTGAGGCCTTTTCTACTGGTCAGGACATATTAGGGGCGCACTGACGCATCGGGCCGCCGCCGTCGAGGAGAATCTGGATATAAATGCGTTGCGGCCGGTGCGTGGTGGTGGTCTGGTGATTACCACGACTGTTAACCTTAACCGTTTCCTCCACTCTAGGTCGTCATGAAGTCTTACGGTATTGCCGCCCTTGCGGCCCTCTTTGCGCAGAACGTGGCAGCCCATGCTACGTTCCAGCAGCTCTGGGTGGACGGAGTCGATTTCGGTGGGCAGTGTGCCAGAAGGCCGGGTTCCAACTCGCCAGTCACCAATGTGGCTTCGAACGATGTCCGTTGCAACGTCGGTACTTCCCGCGCTGCCGGAAACTGCCCGGTCAAGGCCGGCTCGACCGTGACGGTCGAGATGCACCAGGTATGCCCACTGTTGGCTGTTTTGTTTCGGCCATTGACACAGATAGCAAAATGGTGACCGGTCCTGCTCCAGCGAGGCCATCGGCGGCGCCCACTACGGTCCGGTGATGGTCTACATGACAAAAGTGTCGGACGCGGCGACGGCCGACGGTTCGACCGGGTGGTTCAAGATCTTTCAGGACTCCTGGGCCAAGAACCCTTCGGGCGGGTCCGGAGATGACGACTTCTGGTACGTGACAGATCGAATGCGATTATTCCCTTCTTTGGTCATATTCGGGCTGTCTTGAGAGTGCGGAGCCGAGTCACGGTCACTTATTCCCAAATGGGCGAATAGCTAATCCAAACTACCACAGGGGCACCAAGGATCTCAACAAGTGCTGCGGCCGCATGAACGTCAAGATTCCCGCCGACCTCCCCTCGGGCGACTACCTGTTGCGTGCCGAGGCCATTGCTCTGCATGCCTCGGGCTCAACCGGCGGCGCCCAGCTGTACATGACGTGCTTCCAATTGACTGTCACCGGCTCCGGCAGTGCGAGCCCCCCAACAGTCACCTTCCCCGGCGCCTACAAGGCCAGCGACCCCGGTATTCTCGTCAACATCCACGCCGCCATGAGCACGTACATCGCCCCCGGCCCGAGCGTTTATGCCGGTGGCACCACCAAGAGCGCCGGCTCGGGATGTACTGGGTGTGAGTCGACCTGCGCGGTGGGCTCCGGCCCTACTGCTACCGTGTCGTCTGCTCCGGCGCCGACTAGCGGTACCGGTGGTGGAAGTGGCGGCTCGCCCGGTGGCTGCACCGTTTCCCGGTATGGACAGTGCGGCGGTATCGGATTCACTGGCTGCACTACCTGCGAGGTAAGCTACTTGGACATTTACATCAGGAGCATTCTTGCTAACAGTGGACACAGTCTGGCGTGACATGCAAGACTATCAACGACTATTACTTTCAGTGCGCTTAGATTTAGGCTGAGAAGTTGTTGGAAGTGGAGATGTTGCATCGTTGGCGGTGATTCTTGTATATACTTTGCATGTTGGCAGTGGGCGAGTTTGTACCGCCACTCTACCATATATATATCTTTTGCTTCGAACTAAATCCTTCCAATGTGGTGATTGTGTTCTCTTGAGAATACCCATTCCCCATGGCCCACGTTCCCTGACTGGAACCATTGCTCTCCCGCATTTCTCCAGCAAGTCTTCTTCGCTGAACGCTGCACGGCGAGTTGATGATTTTGCTGTTACTGAACGGCAGTGACACATCTAAGTCTGGTAGAACACAATTGAAATATACCCAAATGGCTACATTGAATCATGCTCAATACATTCCAAACCTGGTGTTGCTGTTCCCCATCGCCAAGGCTCACAACCCCTTTGTTCCGGAACAATCAATCTCACCAAAACAACAAAAACACTGATTGCGGCAGAAGAAACCAATGAAAACAGCCGGCTCTGTGGTCTAGTGGTATGATTCGCGCTTCGGGTTATCATTTAATCCAATACTTGATCAACAAGTATCTTGTGCGAGGTCTCGGGTTCGATCCCCGACAGAGCCCCTATTTTTGCCGGTTTCCACGTATTATCCTTTTTGCGTGATTATCGATACGAAAATGCTAGCGAAAAATGTGGCGAGTCACATGGTGACTACTCAGAGATATGATTCGCATGTCTACAACTAACTAGTTTACAAGAGACATGTGGTCACAAGGCACGACAAGTTGAGAGAGAAAGGGGAAAAGCAAAAACTCTTTTTTTATTTTATTTTTCCTGGTTTTCTGATTACACCCACCAGACAGTTAGGAGATAAGCCAAAATCTTCGTTCCTTCAAGAAGAGGGAACTCGAAGAGATGGGGGAGTTGCGGTTGAGAAAAGGAAAAGGGTGCTAAGTCTTACCAGCAGAGGTGACAGACTCACCAGAAGTGCTCGGGTCTTACAAGCACACCTTAATCATCCAGAATCTCAGTGAACTTGCTCTTCCGGCCAGTCCCAGTAGAGGTGCCAGACACAGCAGAGTTGCCAGACGCAAGGGAAGTGCAAGACGCACCGGATCCGAGAGTAGAAGTCTTATAAATGCCCCTGTAAGGACGACTCTCCAGCAGCTCCGGGAACCGGCAGTTCTCTTCATCATCAGCCTTGCCTCCAGCAGTAGAAGGCCTGCTGCTGATGCCACCAGGGCAGCAAGCAGCCGAAGCAGCCGGCGTCCACTGCGTGGACACGAACGGCCCGCCACACGAGGTGCAGACATTAAGCGCAAAACGCTTGCCGCAGGTGGCGCACTCATCAACCAGCGGAGTCTGATCAACCTCATCGTCCTCCTCATGAACAGGCGGTTTCTCGCCGGCCGGCGTGGGGATGCTCATCCAGTGAACGCACCGGGGGCACATACCGCGAGGAAACTCGGGGAGCGAGTCCTCGGAGTGGTTCCACGACCAGTCCGGGGGAGCGGGGGGGCCGTCAGCGTCAGCGGGGTACTGACGACGACGACGGGAGCTCAGGAGGGAGAGGGAGGTGGTCGCCCGCCGGAGGAGACTCTTCGCAGAGTTCTTCCTGCTGATGCCCCCACCCTCGGACTTTGAGGGCGATGACATCTTTTTGTCTTTTTTCCCTTGGCGAAGGCGAAGGTTAAAAAAGCTCGGAAGAGTTATGTGAGGAGGGAGGGAGGGGGACCACGTAACCCAAACGATACTAAACCAGACAGAGAACGCTCGTCGAGTGTTTATGTGTTGGTTGTGTGTAGAGGTTGAGAAGTTGGGTGAGTGATGGGGATGAGAATTTTGTCCCAAGGAGGATCCCTCGACGGTCTTTTATACTTTTTTTACATCGCGAGAAACGCACTTGGTGTTTGGTGTATATTCGGAGTTGATGGTCAACAGACCGACTGTTTTGGTCGCTGTTCGAATGCATCCGATCCAGTGAGAATGTACCGGGACACGCGGATCATGACGTGACAGGCAACCCAGTCAAGAACAGTGAGCTTATATCTACTCCCACACCAAATACCAGCATGATGTTCCCATATTTGTGCCATGTTGAGTTTGCGAAAAACTAAGCTCTCGGACGGGAATCTTGTGTGCGTATTGGACTAGAAGCTGGCCCAGCCAAAGTTGAGTCAGGTCATCTATCTATTCTGCTACACCGATTTTGTTTGGCTCTGAATAGCCTCTCCCGTTTGCTCAAGCCAACAAAGAAATGTAAGACATTGACATCAGTCTAGAGTACACCAGCAGCACTAGCGACTCGCCCGTCAGGGTGCCTGAATCTTCACAGAGTTCGTCAAATAGGACATGCTGCAAAATCTATTCAAACAGCTGTATCGGCTGTGGCTCGCCGAGCCTGCAGTCGCTCATAACCATACGCCGACCCTATGAGTATGGCTGTCAAGATGGCAAGACACAAAACAAAGAAAGTACAAGTAAAACTACAACATCCATCATTAGTCATCCCATTCCTCGTCCAACTGGTCGATCAGCCGATTCTCATCCTCCCGACTCCTGTTTCGTCCGTTTGGAGAGCCCGACAGCGTATGGTATCCTCTCCGGTTCGGGAGGAACCTCGCGCATGAAGACGTCAAGATTATAAAGATATCCTGGCACTGTTAGCAAGGCCCAAAAAGGCATCCCCGGGGAGCTCACCTTTCCAAAGTTCCAAATACCAGCCCATAGACTATAGTTGGGCAACTGCCGCCAGCCCCGCGCGTGGGCAACAGTACGCTGGTAAAAGACACCACCTGCAACGTAGACCACTACCGTGATGAAGAAGATGATCGCAAAGACGCTTCCAGGCCCAACACTGCCAGGTTTGTGCGGTTCTGCGCCGGCACAGGCATGCTGTGACCGGACCTCGAAGAAATAAGCGCATTCATCTGGGTCGGTTCCCACAAAAGAGGCCGCAGTTTGAACATCCGGGTCCCGGTCGCAAAGAAACGAGATGGTGGCCGACTTTCGCCGCGTCGTCTTCGCATCTTTTTCGTCTTTATCCTTTTCTGGCTTCTGTTCGCTTTCCTTGCGCGTAGTACTCGAATATTCTTCATCCTCATCATCGTAGTGTCTATACGCTCCGGAACGAACAGCGCCGCGCTTGTCCCTTGTCTTGTCTGCGCCACATGGCGAACCCCCTTTGTATTGGAGTACCAGTTTGCGTCCTCGAGGTGTAAGCACTCCAGATTGTAACCTGCACCAGTTAGAGACTGCAACCTAAAAAGGGCAAACAACTCACCCTAGAGAGTACACTTTCCCCTTCATCGTGTAGTGCGCGCTAATGTTCTTCCATGATGCCTTTTCCACCCCCTCTACATCCTCCACCTTCTTGACGACCGCGCCGCAGATGTTCAGGGTGAAGTTCGTCCCGTAATCATAGCCCCTAGCCAGATAATCTGTTGTTGGAGCCCCCTTGGGCGTCTTCGCACCCTCCTCAACCACAACGGCCGTGTCTGGGCGCAGGTCGAAGAATGCGCCACTGGTCGAGGTCGCAACGCACGGCGTAACAGTCGAGGTTGTAGATGTCGTCGACTTGGTCTCTTTATCCTCCGCGAAGGCCACTGCCGCGAGGGCAAGTAATAGAACGCGTGGATACATTTCGATTTCGCGGTCGCCGTCGGAATTCAATGTTCAATGGGTGCCTCGGTCGGTTAACTGCGCTCGGTTGGTTGAAAGCGCTCCGGTTTGACTGCGCTCGGTCGCGCTCAGCGATTCTTGGAAGCCGCGATCATGAACTCGCCGATTTCAGCGATGGCGGTGGTAATCTGCCGGTCGACTCGATGCGACTGTCGTTTTGCTGTGACCAGAGTTGGCGTTTTCGATGCAGTGTCGATCTGGCGTTGCCTGGGTGGGATGCGGGTCATGATTGGTGGCTTGGCAGGGGATACGCAACGGTTCCGGCAGCTGACAGGAACCGGCAAGTTCCGTTCGGATCCTGCAGTCAAATCTGTTGGGCTGCAGCGTGTTCCTGAGGGAATGCAAAGCTTTGAGGACCCCGATTGGGACGCCCAACGATTGCGGATTTTGGTACGGAATATAAAATTGGAGTTACAATATCCAAAAGCAAGGACAAGAGACATTCGCAAAGACAAACGTGCTGTTTCCCACCCCGCTTGCCCGCCAAAGTGCCTGCGTCTCCAATGGCCAATCAGATCCCTTGTACGGAGTAGCGGCCCACCAGCTTGCTGGTGCATGGGAACTTTCGATCTCAGGCCATCCGGCAAGCCCATTTCCGGGCTCGAGATCGTACCCACCTGACGGAACGCGCGGGTCCCCTCCCATCGACATAAATCCATTGCTTCGGCCTCTACCTGGGAGAGCTCGCAGAGAACGCGAGACCGTATACCAATGGCGAAAACAAAGAAGCAGGCGGCCCAGGCGCCGCAGCACGGCTACGAGTTTGGAGGACCGTGAGTATCTTCCTGCCCAAAAAAACAACAAAACTGACCGTCACAGCCTCGGCGCAGCTGCCATTACCTTTGGCCTTCCGACCCTCCTCACCGTGTTCGCCTTCGCCTGCAACGACGTCTCAGGATGTCCCGCGCCTTCTCTCCTCCATCCCAAGTCGCTCGACCTCGAAGCATTGAAACAAGAAGTTGGCTGGCCCGAGGATGGCATCTGGGGGCTCGCGAGCTGGAAAGCCATGGGAGCGACGTTGGCGTACTACCTCTTCAGCGCCATCCTCTATCGCCTCCTGCCCGGGACTGAGGTGGAGGGAGTCGAGCTGTCGAGTGGTGGCCGTCTCAAGTACAAGTTCAACGGTGAGTACACGGTCGAACGAGTTCTGTTCGAAAAAGCTGACTTCTGAAGCGCTCGCGTCGAGCATGTTCACCTTGGTCATCTGCGCCGCCGGCACGTATACCCAAGGAGCCGACTTCCCCGTGTGGACCTTCCTCGCCGACAATTACGTCCAGATCCTGACTTCGAACATCATCCTTGCTTTTGCGCTTGCCATCTACGTCTACGTCAGCAGCTTCAGCGTCAAGCCCGGGAATCATGAGCACCGCGAGCTCGCCGCAGGAGGACATACTGGCAACATGATGTACGACTTTTACATCGGCCGCGAGCTCAACCCGCGCATCACGATCCCGCTCATTGGCGAGATCGATATCAAGGAATTTATCGAGGTCCGGCCCGGCTTGCTCGGCTGGATTTTGTTGAACTGCGCCTTTGTCGCCAAGCAATACCGTCTCTACGGTTATGTCACGGACAGCATTGTGTTTATTACCGTCATCCAGGCCATCTACGTGTTGGATTGCCATTTCATGGAACCCGCGATTTTGACGACGATGGATATCACGACGGATGGGCTGGGGTATATGCTTTGCTTCGGTAACATCGTCTGGGTTCCCTTCATGTACACGCAGCAGACTCGCTACCTGTCGACCCACCCTCAGCGCATGGGAACTGCGGGAATCATTGGGATCGGCGCGATTCTGCTCACGGGTTTCGCCATCTTCCGGCTCTCGAACCTGCAGAAGAACATCTTCCGCACGAACCCGAACGACCCACGTGTGGCTCACCTGAAGTACATGGAGACCAAGGCGGGCACGCGTCTGCTGATCTCGGGCTGGTGGGGCATTGCCAGACACATCAACTACTTGGGTGACTGGCTGCAGGCTTGGCCTTACAGCCTGCCCACGGGTATGGCTGGGTACCAGATCCTGTCAGCCGGGACGAATGCTGCCGGTGCTGTGACGATGTTGGACGGCCGTGAGGTGGTTCCCGGCGAGGCCAGGGGGTGGGGAATTGTGTTTACGTACTTTTACGTCGTATACTTTGCCGTTCTGCTGATCCACAGAGACGGCAGAGACGATGAGAAGTGCCGGAGGAAGTATGGTGAGGATTGGGAGAAGTACAAGAAGATTGTGCGGTGGAGGATTGTGCCGTATGTGTATTGAGTGGGTGTACGGGGTGTTGTACTTGTCATGATTGGACACGAGAAGCAGAATATGCTGCTTGGTAATGGATGTGCGAACAGATAGCCTTAATCATAATACGTGACCTTGCTCAAAGGTCTCTGCCTCGACTTGTGAACTGGTTGAAGAGACGAAGAGTGCAGGCCCGGAGAACTATCCGTCTATCCAGTATATGCAAAAACCGATACTCGGCGAATTTACGAACCCTAACCCTATCCGGGCTCGTCACGTGACTACGCCATCGAAAGTGGGTCGCAAAAGAATGGATGCGTCTCTCCAACATCACCTCGCCAAAAATCGCCAGCAGGCAAACGCGTCTCATCAAATCATCACCTACCCACCTCACCACACACCACCGCACGACGACCGAAAGAAATTCATACCCGCGCCCCATCCGCCCCATCTCGACCGAGACATATATCACAGCAGCAGCAGCAGCACACCATGGCCGACGCAAATATCCAGTGCGTTTTCAGCGTCAATACCCAACACAAGACAGGGCAGGAGCTGACGATGAAATTCGCAGGACGTTGTTGCAGAAGCCTCGGAATGAGTGCACGTGCGTTATCCCCCCCTCCTTTTTTCCGTGGTCATCATTTGGGCATTGCTAACCTTTTCGTTGTCATAGAGAGTATGAGATTGCTCAGATAGTGAGTTTTATTTTTTGATCTGTCGGGAGAGAGTGTGTGTGAGAGGGAGAGAGAAGGGGTGGAAAGCTAATGGTGGTTGGTGATGATAGGAAAACTGGGAGATGAGCAACGGGCCGCTTTCGATACTCCAGACGGCTGTGCGTAGTCATACGCAGGTTTTGATTAGCATTCGGTCTAACCGGAAGTTGTGAGTCTTTTCTCTTCTCTTCTTCCGCGTCGTCGTCGTCTTCGTCCCCTTTTGGAAAAGGTTCTTTTGATTTGTTGGGGGAGGGGTTGGTGCTGACAGACACATAAAAACAGGCTGGCGCGAGTCAAGGCTTTTGATCGGCATTGCAATATGTGAGTTTTGAGGAAGGGGTGGTGTTTGATGGGTGTGATGATCCTGACAGTGTTTTAGGATTCTGGAGAATGTCAAGGAGATGTGGACTGAGACGCCGGTGACGAATGGCAAGAAGGGACGGCCGGTGAATAAGGATCGGTTTATCAGCAAGATGTGAGTTTTTTTTTTGTTGGAGTTAGGGATGCTGCTGACGGTTTTGGGTAGGTTTCTGCGGGGTGATAGCGTCATCATCGTTCTTCTGAGCTGAGCGGTCGGAGTCTGGGTGTGAGGAAGAGAGTCATCAACTGGCGGTAAGGGTGCCAGAGAAAAGTGCTACATGAAGAGAGGAAAGTGTGGTTCTGGGAGTATCGATGAGTATTAGAGGTACCAGGCGGCACGGAAAAGAGATACAGACCATGGATGTCCGTGTATTGGATGCAGTTACGTCAGGGCTGAGCACGGCATGAGTTTACTTGGGACATGAAAATCACTTTGGACTATTCGGCCCCCAGAACTGCCGTTGTCGCATGCGTTTTAGATGTATGTTTGATTACCAGGCTTGAATTCCCGGCTGTATCCGCTCCATTTCTCAAAACCGGGCTAGAGTCTACGCCGTACCGAGTATACCATCCACTGTTTCCCAAGAACCATCCTGTATCTTGCTCCGTGTGTGATTCCCGGTCGCTACGCATATGATATCATCTACTTCAACAGCAGAGAAGCCACCTAGCACACGTTCAGCAGCCCAAGGTACCGTTCTAGCTTGAGCATAGATTTTCAAAAAACTAACTGGCAAGCAAGTATCCTTCGTCACATCTCTTCTGGAGAACTGGGAGATCATACCAACACATTTGCCATGTACGCCATTCTGTATATCTTCCCACTAGCCCAACAAATCACAGCGATAGTTAAATCGTTACAGAAAATTGAATCTTTAATCAAGTTTCTACATTGGGTATCCTACCAAACTACTTCCGTATAATATGCTCCCACTAACCTTTTCTCCCCATACTACCCCGGCAGCTCGCTCCTCCTACTCTGCGCCGTGGGCAACTCAACCGCCAGCGGACTAATCCCCATCTCCTTCGAGGCCGGACTGGTCGGCATCTCCTTGGACAGCGGGCTCGTCACGGCCTCGACCGGCGGAGATGCCTTCATTTTGGAAAGCTCATCAGCAGCAGCATCCGGTGGCTGCGTATTTGAATACGGCACCGTGCTCCCAGAGAGCGGAGATACAGAAGCCGTCGGCGGCGAGATCGAAGGAGGAGCTGCTGGCGGCGGCGGGTGGTGTGGCGTTACGTTGTTGAATGAAACTGCTGCTGCTGCTGCTGATGCCATAACCGTCGACGACGGCGACTCGTACCCGTTCGATCCGTCCGGCTCCGTCTTTGCGGCCGGGATATAAGAGCCCCTGCCCGCCGCCGCGACACGGCGGTTCCGGAAGAACATGTAAAAGATGCCCAGTACCACGATGCCGATCACTGCCAGACCTCCGACCACGCCTCCGACGATGGCGCCTACGGGCGTACTCGTGCCGGCCGATGCGGCTACCGCGGTTGTCGTGACGGCTGGTGTGCTACTTGTTGCCGTGGCTGACGTAGTAGCGACAAGGCCTGACGATGAACCAATGCGTGTGCGTGGCTCGGCATCGAGAATGGCCTGCCCCGAAAAGATCTGGTCGTCGCAGTTGAAGAGCGTGAATATCCTGTTCGGCGTGGCACTCGTGGACCAGATATACGTCGCACAGTAGGGTCGGTTCGCATCGCCATCGCTGAGGATAGGTTTGTCAGCACCGGTATATCATTCAAGACATATATAGTGGAGAAGCTCGCGTACCAGCACGTTGTCCCTGGGCTGTGAGCGCCGCACCCGGGGTCGTTGTAGTTCAGACACACGGACGAGAACGAGGATGTGGTACAGTCCGCCCCCACGCAGCAATCCCGATAATCGCCAATGTTTGTGCATGTTCGTCCCGCGGGACAGTACATGGGCGATCCTATTGCAGTTTTAGTTCGGATGCGCATACGAGCTTCTTGATGATGCGCATACCATCCTCTGGAAAGAAACCGCAGGTCTCGATGCCGACTGTGTCGCGTCCGAGAAGTGGAATGGCTCGAAGGTCAAGATTTGGACCGTCGGTGGGACGGGGTGAGATTCGGAGGTGAGCCCATCGGTTGCTGTCTTCGCTTGCGGTCGGGACTGGCGGTTCCCATCGCGTGTCCTGTGCCCGTCCGGCTTTCGCAGCAACGGCGCCTGAGCTGAGCACGGCGAGAAACAGGATGTTTCGGGCCATTAGTAGTTGTGTGCTCGTGGAATAGCCGGCGTGAGTTGGAGGTTACAGCGGCCTATCAGCAGTAGAGTCCGTCAAGAACACCACCCTGCCGGGTCTGGGGCGTCGGGAACATTTGTATCGATGAGAAAAGCCCGGAGCACAAGGCCGGGTCGCTGCCGCCGCATTTTTGGGCCCTCTCTGATCCCGTCACGGCTCATCTCCCTAGGGAATGGTTCGTGCTGACGGCGAAGCTGCACGTCCATGGGAGGGCCGGCTTTGCGTCTTCTTGATTGGTCGTCCCGTCATGTCTCCTCTCGCGAGACCCTGAACGTCCGGGGATATGCACGCTTCGTAAGGGGATTTATAAACCGCTTCGTCCCAATTTCGCTTGATGTTTCTCGGGCCCGTCCGCCATCGTAGGGCTGCGCAGGGTTGCCGCTTACCCGGTTCAACATCTTCAAAAGTCTGTCAGATGGCGCATGAAATGCACTTACATATTTTCACTACACCTCGCGCGGTTGACTGTCGTTCTTCCTGGTGGTCGTGCTTTTTCCTAAGGCCTGTCTTCTCGGTGGTTGAATCGAACAAACCCACCAGAGCTCGAGAACGCACCTTCGCCAAGTCTCACCCAAAGATGGTTGCCTGGAGGTACGTATCGAACATCGGCGCAATCTCCCAGGCTTGGACCAGCCCTGAAGCATGAACTTTTGGCAGGCAGGGGTCCAGATGTAGTGCTGATGCCGAGAGCTGTCACAGAAGGGGTCTGTCACTGACCGCTGGAAGATAACAGAGATGTTGTTGAAGGTATGGAAGAACAAGATGAATGTATTCAACACAGCCCAACGTTACTGTTGCACTGTGGGTTGACTGGTCAGTATGTTTGCACTTCGACTGTCAAGCAAAAAAAAAAAAAAAAAACATGGCGCGAACAAAAAAGGAAACCTTTCTTGAAGAAGGTTCAACAAAAGAGAACGCAAAAATAAATGCCCACTATCAGAATCGAACTGATGACCTTGTCATTGCCCTAGATTTACTAGTGACACGCTCTACCACTGAGCCAAGCGGGCTTAGCGAATTCATTGTTGGTCTTTCGCTAGCTGTAGTCTATAATTCCCGCAGCAAAATCCGCCAGAGTTGCACCCCACCAACCGATCTCCAAAGTCCACACCCGATATTTCTGCAGCAAAGATTTCCGCAACAACTAGTAGAATAAGTAATAAGAAGAGTATGATGCTGTTCCAGAAACTTGATGCGCCATATACATACGCTCTATATGGTGTATATTTCCCTGGGGATGCTATCAACCGATCTGATCAGAGCTCGATGGCTTCCGTAGGTATCCATAGCTGCCATGTTCCGGATTAGCAGTGCCACAGCATTCTGTCCACAACCCGATGCCTGACGTGCGGCCGAACAATCCACAATCCCCCTGTGTTCCAGACGGGATCCCTGCTGTGAGGTTGCTTCGCAGGAAAGTTGCCATGAACACATCCATCCCCAAGGGGACCCGTACGTCTTCTATTCCCGATCGGTAGCTAAGTGGGAAAACCCAAAGTCGATCAGACAACCCTTGCTTAGAGAGAATAGTTCTGGAAACTGATACCTAGCCTGGACACTTGGGAGGAAGTGAGGGATTAGGATGAAGACGAGGTTTGAGGTCAACGAGCTGTATCCGTAATGTGGACTTGCTCATCAGAACACCGAATCTCATGAGGTTTATTCAATATTACCTGTTGGATCACTACCTGTTGGATCACTAATAACCCAGCAATCAATTCCCCAGTCCGTCTGGAAACTCGGATCTGTCCAGTCATACCACAAAACACCAGATACAGTATGGTACAGAACAGCTCAGTGGCTCCAGATTTGAATACACGCTGTTTTCAGTTATTCATTCCCTGATTTCTAACCTGAACGCTACCGATAAACCGTGTATCTCGGGATAGCAACGTGAAAATACTCGGCCGCACTGCCAGGCTCTCGTCGTGCCCCGGACGTGATATCTCTGGTCCGCCTTGACTCACTTCACATGCACCATCTTCATCATCATCAGGGGCCAACAGGCAAAAAAGCAATCAGCACCCCAAACTCAGTGAAGATGTCTGTGGATATTTGTAGAGAAGGGCAAAAATATGATCGAACCCAGGTTTGAACTGGGGACCTTCAGTGTGTTAGACTGACGTGATAACCAACTACACCATCCGACCTTTATTGTTAGTGATCTTTAACAGGAAGGAGTATATGAAGCACGTCCTTGGGTGTCTATGGATGCACACACCGGAAAACACTCCAGGCTTCGTGCCAGGGTACTGTTGAAAAGACGCAATCTTACCGCCATATCTACAGAGCATGCCTCCTCTATATGTCCCTTTGTCCAGCGAGACATCCATCCTGTAATTGTGTGCACGGTAGAGTAGAAAGACGGGTATACGGACATCGGACCCTTCTTCGCATCCCTGGACCAAATCAAGTCTTCGCCGGAAAGGTATAGCCGGGTAAAGTGCCACAGGGGCTAAGTAAACGCTTCAACAGGGGTATGCCAACGTCAGGCATCCTATGTTTCCTCTATACTTGCCCCTTTTTGCATGGTTTCATTCGATCTATGTGTGGATCAATTCCATGGTCTATTCGCAATTTATCCTACAGCTACCAACTTCCACTGGCGTCAAGCTCCTTCAGTCCTACTCCTGAGAAACAACCGGGACGACAACGTTCTTCCACAGCCTCTGCTTGTTCTCATCAGGACTCCCCACCCACTCCTTTTCCACCTCGGCATAATAGTCCCACCACAGCTTATGCGTCGACTCAATGACATCGTCGCCATACGCCCTGCTCTTCCACGGCTTGTTCAGGATGTAGTGGAGAACCTTGACATCCTCGTCCTTCCACAAGTCACTGTGGCACGCGCGCATGGGTTTCAGCGCGTTGTAGGTGTACGGAAGCGGCTTCCACTTGTTGCGATACACAATCGCCAGCAAGTCCTGGTCGAAGAAGAGCATGTTTGGCACGTCCGGGTGTGTGTTCATGGCGTCGATCAGGGCGGTATATTGCTCCTTGGAAGGCTCCAGAATGACGGTACCGCTGTTGAGCAAGTGGTGGTTCCTAGGGCTGGCTTCGGTGATAGGCTTGGGTTCTCCCGTCTGCGTGTCAGCAGCAGTAAAACCGCAGTTTTCTGGGGTCCTGGTTTCGTGAGCGTCCGCGACAACGTGCGGGTATGGGGCTTATACCAGTCTTTCGGATAGTGAGAAAGCTTGCGAGGGTTGCAGGTGCAAGCATGAGCGGCGGCAATCCAGCCCCGAGGCAGCTCCATGGTCATCATATCATCGATATTCTGAAGAACCACTTGGTCACTGTCCAGAAGCACGATTCGCTGGGTGCGTTAGCATGGAAACTGCAAGAGGATAAAACTTCAGCCAACAGACCTCATACTCCGTCATTCCCCAAGGGGCAAGCTTTTCCCAGGTGCCCTTGTTGACCTTTCCATCTCTGGGCGCCGGTTCGATCTTGTCTACTACAATGGTAGGAATACCAGCAGCGGCGAATGCCTCCATGAACTCGGTGTCGGCCTCAACCTCACGCGTAACCATGATCTTGAGTTGGTATCTCGACCCGGTCTTCCGGAGGGTGTGATTGAGCACCAGGGCTCCCCCAAAGTAACTTCTGTTGGTGAGCAAAGTCGACCATATCTTGGTGTGGTCGAATCCGTTCTCCATCTTGGCGTCTACAATGCACCCGGGAACTTTGGTGGACTTGGGCAAACAGACGAATTTAGCACAGCCTGCAAAGGGGCGGCGGACGAAGTGATGTTCCCGACATTGATGTTCGGACGGATCCGAACGCGTGGTTAAGCTGTCCGTCAAAACATATAAATCTTGGTCTAGAAGCTAGCCAAGCTTCCACTGCATCGAGAAGCACGTCAGCGCACCAGATATGATTGCAACAGGGACTCATCGAATGGAGCCGCAATCGGATCTTGTTGCGAAAAGCGCGAACTAACTGTTGCGTGGAGACACCAGCTTGCGTATCACCGGGCCGAAAATTTGCCAGAACCCCATCAGCGCTGTCGTGATCACCGATTCCGGACGCTGTTGTAACAAGCGGGAATCGAGTCGGCCTCCGTAGGCATCGGTTGTCTGCATTCCAGACGTTGCGCCGAGTACCTTGGCCCTTTGTCGGCTTTGTTGTAGGACTGGGTCCCCCTTGATTGTTTGGCGTGGGGTGACGTAACGCAGAAACGTCGAGTGTCCGGGATTGTCGGAATCCAGATCCCTCGCAGCAATACTGATTGAACACAGCTTTGGTTTATACCAAGGGGCTAATTCTCTCTGCCCGTCTTCTTCCAAACATTGTCTGTTCGCCTTGCCGTGCTGTCACGTCATTGTCCAGGCTCAAACACTGCGGACCGGCAGCGACTCGAGTTCTTTCCAGCCGTGGTCCGAATAAAAAATCCATATCCGAAGTTTCAGAGCTTGTTGTTCAGACTTGGCTTCTCGATGCCAAAAGAGGTTCTGATGGCCAAACGTCCGGCGACAGGCCTACCTACAATAACTTCCTTCGACAACAGAGTGATGGTAGCTCATTGTCTTGTGGCCATCCCAGAAATAGGAAGGAAGAAAGACGGGAGCGGGGTCTCCTTGGTCATCTGGCGGTTCTCCGATGATATCGACGAGGGCAGCCCAGACATCCCACCTGCCTGTCAGCAACTTCTGGACCGCAAACCAGTCATACGCAAACCTATCGTGAGCAGCTTGAAAGCGGGAAGAGGACAGCTCGCCGATCACTAGTTGTAATCTCAAAACGTCTCCATGTCTGGCCGTCCCAAAGCTGAAGCGGTCGTCCCATTCCTTGACTTCGAAGTTGTCTCGTTCGATGATCAAACACGCTCCCTCCGCCTGCCACATCGCACTTTCTCTGGCCCCTGGATATGACTATTGGGGAGATGGTGGTTTCCAGAACAATCACCCAATGTGCAGAATGAAGGATGCCTCGAGTCGAAGAACGGAGGAGATGGTTGAATACAAGGTGCTCCTCGTTTGCTCCTGCCAGGTCCAACAAGACGCACAAGATGAGGAAAAGTAATCGGAGTGCAGGGGCCCGCAACGGTGGTGCACATCAACGGCTGTACAGCAGCTTCTGACCGCAGGCGCAGAGGCGTACCCAGCAGCAGCGCGCTCGCAGCCAACACGAAATCGAAGCCTGCCCAAGCTCTGTCCGACTGTCGTGACTGAAAGTCTGGTACACACAACCGTATCGGCGCTCGAGTCCGAGAGGTCCGGAAAAGGCTCAAGCGGGAGAACGACTGCCGATAGACCGACGTAAGGCATCAATCGAAGAGAAAGCCGTCATTGGAGTGAATGCTGCAGCCTGAAGATCCGACGCCGTGGTTACGCGCCTGCCTTGCTTGCCGTGCGCGTCGGGAGGAGCGAAGTCACGTGCACAAGTAAATCGCAGCACGGGCCAAGTGCTTATTGCATCACCCCAAACCCCCACCACGGTTGATTGGCCGACGACGATTTTTGGGTTTTGATTTCCATTGCTTGGCCGCGAAGCAAACGAACCATCAAACTGCCACTTCCCGATCAACAAAGTCGCCCTTCCTTTCCGTCTCGAGTCTTGTGCAAAGACCTCCCTCCCGCTCGGCCATACGACTCATTCGTCCCAGCGCAGTCCTCCTCCCGATCTGTGCCCAACCTTTTCTTCAACACATTCATCGAGCGGACAGCTGAGAAAATGGGTGAATCACGGTGTGTTTTCCCTCGTGCGCGACGGCGCATGGAAAATGTGGCCGCGCCTCCGACTGACCCAGTGGCCTGTACAGACAAGAACTCGTCCAATGGCTCAACAGCCTCCTCCAACTCAACATCACAAAGGTTGAGCAATGCGGGACAGGGTAAGTCGAGAAGCCCCTCCCCCGCGCCCAGCAACCCCGAGGCTAATACGTACCAGCGCCGCCCTTTGTCAGGTATACGACAGCATCTTCCTCGACGTCCCCATGTCTCGCGTCAAGTTCAACGTGAACACGGAATATGCATACATCCAAAACTTCAAAATCTTGCAGAGTACGTAC